TACTGCTTTGAGTTTGTTACGAACGCTCCCGCCTCTCTTCTTCTTCTTCTTTTTCTGCTTTCTCTTCTCCTTCTTATTTGTGGTCTTATGGCACTTGGCAAACAACTATTTGGAGCATTACTGCCACCAACTGGATTGGAGTGGAATGACTACCAATCACTTCCTGTTTGTGCATCGGCGTCTTAAAGGAAGAATCCATTATGGCATTAACAGAGGGGTGCCAGCAGTCAGGGCTAGGGGCCCCCCCAACATATGGGGGCCCCAGGCGGCCGCCTACCTATGCCAAATGGTAAAACCGCCACTGGTTGTGGTTTTGGCAGGTGTGGTTGTAGCTGTAGTTGTGGTTTGGATTGCTGTTGTAGTTGGTGGAGTTGTAGTCGGTGTGGTTGTTAAAGTGAGTGGAGTTGTAGCTGCTGCTTGGTTGGTTGTAGTAGTTAGTGGGGTCCGGTGGTAGTCGTAGTTGTAGCTGTGGGTAGGTTAGTTGCAGTAATCAGAGGAGTTGTGATTGTTATAGTTGGTGTGGTTGTAGTTTGGACAGATGTTGTCATTAGTGGCGTTGTTATAGTAATTGTGGTTGGTGTCATTATATTTGTGGTTTCGGTGGTTGTTGTAATTGGAATTGTTGTTACTTTAGTTGTGGTTGTTGTATGTAGAATTGTTGTTAAAGGTGAAGTTTTCGTTGGAGTGGTTGTAGTTGTGGTTAATGTAGTGAGTGAAGTTGTGGTTCTAGCTGTTGTTGGCATAGCTCTGATCATCTGGGCTGTAATGGTTTGGTCTACAGAGGTTACAGTCTTCGTTGGTGTAGTTAATGTAGTTGGTGAGTCTGTGGTTGTTGAAGGTGTAGTTGTAGAGGTGGTTGTAGCTGTAGTTTGGGAGGTATCTGTTGAGGTTTGCATGGTTGTTGTAAGTGAAGCTGTAGTTGTGGTGTGTGTGGTTAATGTCAGAACAACTGTGCTTGTAGTAGTAGATGTTGTAGTTGATAGGACTGTTGTCGCTGTGTTTGGTGTGATTGTTGCAGAAGGTGGAATAGTTGAGGATGTTGTAGTAAGAGATGTTGTCAGTGTGCTTTCAGATGTGGGCTGGGTGGTGGTAGTTAGTGTGATTGTTGCCGTATGTGTGGATGTTATTGTGATTAGTGTAGCAGGTGAAGTTGTGTCTGCTGTAAAAGGTGGAGTTGAAGTTAGGGTTTGGGTAGTTAAAAAATGTTTGGGTAGTTGTAATAGGTGTGGCTGTAGTTGCAGTAGTAGCTTGACTTGAAGTCATGATTGTTATCAGTAGGGTCGTAGTTGTGGTCTGAGTGGTTGAAGTTGTAGTTGTGTCATGGTCTGCGTCTGTGTCTTCCCTCATGTGTTCTCCTTCCTCTAGGTTCCCATTTTGGGTCTCATAAGCGCCCTCATGTGTCCTTTGTCTGCGTCTCATTTATGTGTCTTCTGTTTGTAGGCCTTCATATCGTTCCCTCAGGTCCAGTGTTCATTTAGTCATCCCCAGCCCCTCCAATTGTAGCTCCAGCCTCTTGTTCCCCAGCTCAGTATATGTGTGATTGAGTGCATGTATGTTTGTCAGCGTTGTTTCGTGCTCTATGTGAGCTTATGTCTCCTGGTTTTGGTGCTCTCAGTGAGCTTTTGTTCTTGTTACCAGGGTTTTTGGATTTTTGGACTTTTGGCTCACTGCCTTTGGATTTATTTTTGTTAGTCCTGTAAAATAAAGCATATTTACTTTACATCATCTCCAGCCTCTTGTCATCTGGGTAATCTGCACTTTGGGTCCTAACCTTCCCCTCAACGTGACAGAATGGACCGACCAACCTAGGACCCAGCACCAACCCCAGGTAAATCGGACTTGAGCCAGGGGATGTACTCCTTCTATGGTGACCCGGCACCTGTCAAGAGTTTATTTTGGACTTTGTGCGCTTTATGGACATGAACTGCTCGGACACTGATTTAGTTACTTTTTTTGTGTGCTTTCTGAGGGGTAGAGCTCTGAAATGGGCAGCCTACTATCTCGAGCTTCACCCCATAGAGGAGATTGGTTTTGGGGATTTTGCCAGGGCTCTGCTGGACGCCTTCTGCAGCCCACAGCAATCCTCGTCGCACACCTCCACATCTCCATCAGGCCAGGGCAGCGCTGCCGACGTTTCTCCAGAGGACTGTCATCTGTCGCCTGCCTCCGTTTTATTAGGTGCCTTCGCTGCATCTTCGAGGGGCCTAACCACCACACCCCCACCCGGTCCGGACAGCACCACCTCCCCATCTCTGGTGGGCTGTCACATCTCGTCACCCTCTGCTTCAGCTGGCGCCATCGTGGCATCTCCGATGGGCCAAGCCACCTCACCTTCACCTGGTCCGGACAGCGCCACCTCACCGTCTCCAGTGGGCTGTTACACCTCTTCACCCTTTACTTCAGCTGACACCATCGTGGCACCTCTGATGGTCCGAGTTTCCACATCATCACCTGTTCCAGACAGCGCTGCCGTGTCCTCTCCGGTGGGCTGTCATTCCTCCTCATCCTCAGTGCATGCCAGCGTCATCTCCATACCTCCGTTGAACCAAAAATCCCCACGCCGATGACGCCGCAACCGTCGTGCCTCAGCGGTGGTTCCGGAGGACGCATCGTATCCTGCCTCAGCAGTGGTCCCCGTGGACGCATCTCATCCTGCCTCAGTGGTGGTCCCGGAGGACGCATCGCATCTTGCCCCAGCGGTGGTCCCGAAGGACGCATGGCATCCTGCCTCGGCGGTGGTCCAAGAGGACGCATTGCATCCTGTTTCGGCGGTGGTCCAAGAGGATGCATCGCATCCTGCTTTGGCGGTGGTCCAAGAGGACGCTTCTCATCCTGCTTTGGCGGTGGAGGACGCACAGGCTCCGGTCCAGCCCGTCCAAGAGGCTCTGGTCCAGCCCGTCCACGAGGCTCCGCCCAGTCCGGCGCAGCCTGTCCAAGGGTCGATTCCTCTAGTCCAAGGGTCGACGCCTCCAGTCCAAGGGTCGACGCCTCCATTCCAAGGGTCGACGCCTCCAGGCCAAGGGTCGGCGCCTCCTGTCTCGAAGTTGACGCCTCCTGTCTCGAAGTCGACAGAAGTAGGCGTCTCCAACTCCAGCTCTGAAGTTGACGTCTCCAGCTGTGAAGTAGACGTTTCCAGCTCTGAAGTGGACGTTTCCAGCTCTGAAGTGGGCGTTTCCAGCTCTGAAGTAGACGTTTCCAGCTCTGACATGAATATTCACCTGGACAATCACAGCTCATCAGGCTTCCTATCACTAATGTCATCATTTGATCTAAACTAGTACAAAGTCCTCCAACTCACAAAACTGGAAAAGCACTCAACCACATTTTCACCAGAAACAGTGCCATAGACACAATCTGTCACACCGCTGCATCTTTTGGATCATTACTTCATCCATTTCAGCACGACTTTACAAGGGAGGTCCGCTGCTTCCTCCCCAATGGCCTCATTCCGCCGCAACCTCCGCAATCTGGCACCCAACCAGTTCTCCTCTATTGTTGCCTCCACTCTTCCATCTCCCAGCACATTCTCTGCTTATGAAGTGAATGAAGCCACCGAGTCACTCTGCTCTTGTCTTAACTTGTGCCCTTTAGCCACTAGACCTGCTAGATCCTCTCAGTCGCACCCTTGGCTAAATGATACCCTCCGGTCTCTACGCACCAACAGAGCTGCGGAACGGAAATAGAGCAAAAGATCCTGGTGATGCGGCCTCTACGGCCATCACAGGATCGTTGGCTAGCAGTGCCTACACCACGCTCAGGACAATCCAGACTCTTCTCATGCATCGTTCCACAAATGTGGAATGACCTCCCAAGCACTACCAGAACAGGAGCTTCCTTTTCAATTTTCAAGAAACTCCTGAAGACCCTGCTCTTCAGAGAGGATCTTCTTAACTAGCACCCCTCCCTGCACCCATCCCCCCTCTCTACTGTCCACTCCTGGTTCCCTCCTCTCCATGATTGATGTCAAGTTGTTGTTGTTGATAGCCTCAAGGGCAATATGCCGATTGTCACTTGTAAGTCGCTTTGAACAAAAGCGTCTGCTAAATACAAAAACATAAACAAAACGCACATTTACTGGTAACTATTAGAAGCACCTTTGTAGGACTTCTATTTGTCATCAGGACCACCTTAATTCTTCATACATGAGCCTTTATATTAGTAGGCCTACTCAGCAGGGCTCAGCTTGTCTCACTGCAACAGAATCAAGGTGTTATACAGTCACCTAAAGGATTATTAGGAACACCATACTAATATGGTGTTTGACCCCCTTTTGCCATTTTGAACTGTAGTTGGGTCTTGCCAAACTTAAGGCTTCCTCGCAGGGCAGATCTCACGAGTCATGTGCTCACACTGTACGACCCAGTTCTCGGATGCGACCTGACTGCTCACGCTGTACGTCTGGTAGCAACACGTCTGACCTAAAAAATATGCTAAAAAAAGGAGTTTATACACAACACGTCAATAATTTTTTGTCTTGTTTTGCCTGTTGTCCTTGGAGAGTGCTGCAGGAGGACACACAGGGATTTATGGGGGTTGGATGAGGAAAACGAAGTAAAATCGGTTTTGTGATCCGTTTAATTTGACATGAACACGACAAACTCACTTTCTTGACAATCCTTATCACTGTGTAAAAAAAAACGTTTAGAAATAAAACTGAACGTGTTTATTTGCGAAATAGTGGGTGAGCGGTATTGATGCTTGATTGCGCATGCACCGTGAGCAGTTCTGGTACTTTCTGGGTTGCAGCCGCTCGCTGCGCCACTTCAACCCTCATGAGGAACGAGCAAAATATCAAACACTCCAGAAGTCCGTGCGAGCTCACGATTGCTGATCGGTAGCTGGTCACGTGGTGTTAATCGCCTCTCGTAACCCCCTGTACACTACATGACGCTCAGCGCAAAACTCGCCCCGATCTTGTGGATTCTCGCACGAGTGGAAAATCGGCTCAAAAAAGTGAAAAAGTTGCACAGTGTATGCCCGGCTTAATAAAATGATTCCACTTCAACAAGTGACACTGAAGTTTTATTGGAAATTTTAAAATACAGAACAAATTTTTTAACAAAAAAACCAAACAAAAGATTAAATTCATTTCATATTTTCTACAACTAGAATTAGAAACACAACACTTAACTTTCAGGTACTTTATTATTAACCACGTTTTAAAATAACCTGGTTATGTTGCAACAGTGATTAACAACTATTTACGTTGAAAACTAATGCAATTACATGTTTGTCCCAAGTAAATCCATATTCTAGATCTCCTTGGGTGTGTGTGGGTTGGGGGGTGCTTACCCCCTTCAAGTCTCAACATTTATCCATCACCTGTGTGAAAGTTAAAAATGAAGCCAAACAAAGAACTTATTGCTTTGTTTCGCTTCATTCTCTACTTAAAAGATCTGATAGTGTTTTTGTGACTCAACCACTCAGTGTCACTGTTCAGAGAAGGAAGAAAATGAGTGGGAAGATCTAGGAATATGTAGACTTTAGACCAGGTAAAGGACTTGAATCAAGAAAGAACACACATCTGTCTGCACATCAGTGGTTCCACCCTCCACAGTTCAGGTTGATCAATTGGACACAGGTCCTTGGGAACTTTGCGGTGAAGTCTTCTGTTGGAACATCTGGTAATGTTTCTGAAGACAAGAAAAGGGAAGAGCTGTAAAGGTTAGAACCTGTGTAATACATGTTCTTTTTAAATTAGAATGAGCCTCAGCTAGTAGACGCTGACCATTAGCTTTAGCAACTCCACAACATGGCAGGATACATTCAGGCTTGAGTTATTTGTGGGGATAAAACAAGAGTAGAGTGAACGGAGTTGCATTGTTGTTAGTCAATAAGAGGAGAGATCTTTGCATTTTATTAATATTATGAAATGATAATCTCATAATATTATCCCCCATCTGACTAACTTCAAACTCGTGAAACAAGACCGCCCTAAGAGAACAACTCCTTAAGCATTCATTGATGCTAGAAACCACAGCAGGTGTGTTTAAAAACAATGTTCTCCAGGTGTTTGCACATACCAGCAGGTTGCTGTAGTGCTTCTGGCTGCTGCAGTGAGTCACTTTAGCTGTGCTCTCCTTCAGGTAGAACATGGAGCACAAGCTACAGAAGAATCCAGATTTAGGGACCACAAACTCCTGACCTGAATGGAAAAGGGAAAGAAAGCACAAAACATGTATAACAGTTCTACTTTGTTTACGTTTTATTTATTTATTTAATCATGAATGTTTCTTACCCTGGGGATTTTTGGGGTTAAATGGAGGCAGTTTAAAGTCCACGGGCAAGCAAGGAGACTCAGAGCGAGGTCGCTTTGCTTCAGGTTCTGTAAGCTTCTGTAACTGGTCGTCAGCTATAGAAACACAAGACTTTTGAATGAATCTTGTGTGTTTTACACTGAGTAATACCGAACCAGGAGGTAGAATCACAGTTGTAGCATAGGAGAAGGCCATGTAATGCAAATGGTATGACCTTTGTCAACAACCCGCCCTACCAGTGGGCAGAGGTCAGACATCAAGTGTCAGAAATAATAAAACAGTTCCATGCAAATGACTCCTGATTATTTTAAGACTTAAAAAAGACATTAGAAAATAGATTATTTGGTTTAGACCAGTCGCTTGTACTGACTTGTACCTTTAACCTCCGTCTTGATCTCTTCCTTCCCTTTTTCCTCCACACCTGCTTCCAGTTTCGGATCACAAGGACTCTCAGAAGGTTGCGTCGACTCAGTAGAAACGGATTCCGTTTCCATCCCTGTCTTCTCGGTCTCCAGCTCTCCTGATGGAGCAGACAAGTCTTTGTCCAGAGTGGAGGGGGGATTGACTGCAGGAGGAGGGAGTTTCTCATTTTCTTCTTCTTCTTCTTCTTCTTCCTCTACTTCTTTCTCATCCAATTTTGCTCTGGTGGATTTCCTCACTGTAGAAGACAAATAAGTCTGTGTTTCACATTTAAATGTGTTGTCCTTTATCCAGGTAGCAAACAGCTTTGTTTTATGTTACCAGGAGTCCGCCTGCTCCTCTTCCTGGGTCGACATTTGGCCGATGTCGTCGTTTTCATTTCCTCCTCTTCCGTCGTTCCCACCTCGTCGACGGTTACAAAGTCCTCGCTGTCCTCTGAAACAGACCATTCAAAAACGTTTCGCTCATTACTGCAGGTATGAATTTCTACCAGCAGGTGGCAGGATTGAACCAGCAAAAGGGATTTCCCAATAACATTTAAAATAAAAACCACATACGTCTGCCATGCTCCAGTAACATTTTCAGATATCAGTTTAAAATGTGTCAGGTCTCATTATGGCTGAACTGTTGCCTAAAGCGTTGTGAGACAAACGTCCTCCAGATGTTGGTAGTCTAAAAGAAGAGCTGCTACAGGAGTCTACAGAACAAACATGTCCTAACCGATGGTCCCAACATCAAATAGCAACTATTAAATCAGTTATCCTGAGTTTATAACAGAAAAAACAAACAAACCTGTGTAGTCGTCATGTTTGCGTTTAACAGAGCTTGAGGAATCCTCTTCGTCTGCTTCCTTATTCTCACCAAGGCCAGCTTCATCTAAGGTCTAGAGAGAACGACATGTAAGGACGGCAAGTTTTATTTTAAAACCAAACTTTTTATTTGAATCTCAATCGGACCTCTGGCTTCGATGATTCTCCTGATTGGACCTCATGGCTGGGTGGTTGGATCACAGGTGTTTCTTGCTCCTCCTCCTCATCAATCTCATCCAGAGTAACAAGGTCCTGCAGCTCCCCCTCCGTTAACCCTCCACCACACTTTAGACTGTTAGTAGTTTCCACCCCATCAGCCTCACCCACTCCCACTTCATCCAAAGTCACCAGCTCCTGAGACTCTGCTTCCACCTTCTCCTGCCGTAACTCTTTGGTTTTTGCTGCTCCCCCACTGCCTCGACGACTCCGTTCCTTGGTGCCTTTCTCGCCGGTCTTTTTCTCCTTCTGCTCATCTTCTCTTTCTTTGAAAGCTGCTTGGATTTTAATGATTTTTTCTTTCTCGATTGTATCATCGGGGTAATCATCTTCCTCATCGCTGACTTCATCCAAGCTTACGACCGCATTTGCGGAAGAAGTTTCATCTTTTTTCTTGGGTGATTTTTGAGATGTCTTCTGTGATTTTGCAGAGTCAGACTCCTCTTGTTTCTCAAGATCTTTGTCTGGTGTACTTCCTGTTGGACATTGTCCAACCTCTTGAAGCAGACTCTCATGCTTCACTGGAGCTGCTTTGGATGTTTCTACAACTAAAGGTGGTACTGAGTCAACATTTGCAGCCCTTTTGTCTTTTGCCCCCCTCTTTTCCTTCTGCACAATGGACGTCTCTGTTACCTGCTCCTCTTGAGATGGATAATCTTCTAGAGAATCTACAATCTGGTATACAGGCTCATCTTCCTCCTTTCTTTTAGATGATCTTGTCCTTTTCTTTGTTGTCCTGTCATCATTTTTGGAACTTGTTGACTTTCCTAAGAAAGTCTTCTTGGTCTGGTCTGTGGTAGCTTGTTCATCAATCGTCTCATCCTCAATAGAGTCAAGAATCTGAAATGTTGTAGCTTCTGTGTCTTCTGCAAATTCAGAGGGCAAATGCACCTTCTCTGAAGCTGCGGTTTGTTCTTTAGATGGTTTAACGTCTTTCTTTGGCCGTCCTCTTCTTGATTTTGTTGTTGGTGGTTTATGTTCAGCTTCTTCCTCAACAGCATCTATTATTTCAAAAGTCATCTCCTCCTTGCTTTCGTCTCTAACAGAGTTGCTCTTATTTGTTGGTGTGTTTCTTTTCTGAGGAACATTTGTTTTGGGACTTGTGCCTCTGTCTCTTTCACGTGAGTCTCTTGCTCGTGTTAGCCGTCTCCTTGTTGGGGTCTTCTCTTTCTTGGATTCCTCAGTTTCACTAGATTTCTCAGTTGTTTTCCCTTTTCTTCCTCTGGTAGATCTGGTCCCAATTGGCTTTTCAGAGTCATTTTCTTCCCCTACAGAGTCCAGAATTTTGAATACCATCTCTTCTGATTTATCAGCCTCTTTATGTCTTCTAGAAGACTGTCTTCTACCAGAACCTTTTGTGGTGGGAGCCTCCTGAACAGATTCATCTTCAATAGAGTCCAATATCTCAAACTCCATCTCCTCAGTACCTTCATCCACCTTTTCTTCTTTTTCTGTCACATTGCCCTTCACTTTAGTCCCGTATTTTCTACCTGGGGTGATTTGTTTCTGTGTTTTATCTTTATCGTCACTTTTAGATGTTTTACTTCTTGAGCTCCTGGTTGGGCGATCATCTCTTGAACTTGTTTCACTGCCTTTTTTTGTTTGCTTTTCCTTGTCAGTCTCCGGTTCAGTTTCTGTTGTTAGCTGATCTTCCACAGAATCAATTACTTGATAAACAACATTGTCCTCCTCTATTGGAGATGTTTCAGCACTGGGACCTTCTACTATCTGGCCTTTACCCTTTGTCGTGGTCTGATCACCAGCTGAATTATCAGAGACTTTTGATTGGGTGTCTTTGTCATCACTGCTTCCAAGATGAGGGTTATCTTCACACATTTGTTCAGAATTCATATAGGTATGCCACAATTCTTCTGAAAATATTTCTTCTTTTTGTTTTCCAGTGTGTCCAGCTCCTGCACTCAGAGTTTGGTTAGTATCTGAATCCAACATTTTATGAGCTTCAGCTTCAACCAGCACTTTGTCAGAGTGGTGGGCTACTTTAGTTTTAACCTCTGTCACCATGGAAACTTCATCGTTGTCAGGGGTAGCTGCCTGGTTGTTAAACGTGTCTTCCTCTTGGATAGATGGATCTGTTTCCATTTCACTGCACGCCTCTTGACTTACTTTGTCATTATCAGCACCATCTGAAACCTGACGACATTCCTGATGAGAGATCTGGTCTTCCTTGAGGTTAAGTTCCCGTGTTTCAGTGATGCCATCTTTGTCTTTTGTAATTATCTGATCATCAGTCGGCTCCTCGAGTGAATCAATTATCTTGAAGTTCTCAGAGTCCTCAGTACTTTTGCTATCTTCCTCTATGTGCATCTCATTTTCTTTGCTCATCTTCACCTCTTCGGGTATTTCTGCCTTAGATTCCATCTTTGGCTTCTGGGATTCGTGGGTTGGTTCTAACCTCTCTTCCTGTTCGGGTGTATCCAGCTCTGATGTTTCCATTTTTGACTCTGACTCGACAGTTTTTGCAGCACTGCCCTTTGCTGACACCCTGTGGTCAAACTCTACCACTGCACCCTCTGTGGGCTTATCTTCCTTTTTATGCAGCTGACAAGTTTCCACAGATGTTTCAACCACTGTTGCTGATGAATGAGTACTTTGACCTCGGGGTGAAGTGTTTGATCCTCCAGCGGCAGACGTTTTGCTCTGCTGAGCTTTTTTACCGGGAGAAACACAGGTTTTAACTGACTTTGAGGAGGAGGAGCTTGTGGTAGTAGGAGATGATGAGGCTGAAGTTGAGCTCTTGCAACTTTTTGAAGATTCTGGCATGGTCTTTTTGGCAGGAGATGTGACTTTTGAGCTTAGTCTCTCTATTTTCTTTGGAGAAGTTGGCTTAGATGAGGAACAGCTATCATATGCTGTATCTTTTGGGTCTTCACCAATTTCATCAACAGTCACCAAGTCATCAAAGTTAAAATTGTTCTCATCAATAACTTCTGAAGAAGTGTCAACATCGTTAATATCCTCCTGTGTCAGAATGAAAAAAACAACATCAGGTTTTTTACTGATGGCAACTAACACAAAACTACTTTCAGCAAACAAAATGTGAATAATTGGATCCCCCCCCCCCCCCCCCTTAAGTGTTTTAGATAAATTACACACAATAAGCAGACATTTACCTGTACGTTTTGTGTGTTTTCCTCCTTTGCATTTTCAAAGGGTGTCTTGCTTATCGTGGTGATCTAGAGGAACAAGTGTGTACTGTTAGCTTATTTGAAATTATTCCATAAACTGGAATTGTGCTCAACATCTCTACGTGATTTCAAATAAATACTCTAGATGAGCAGTGTCACCTCTTTCTCCTCTTGGTGCATCCTGCTTTCCTTTTTTTGTTTGTGCTGACGAAGCACAAAGGTGAAGGCCTTGAAAATGTCCTCAGTAATGTGAGGAATCTCTGCTGACGCCGTCTCTGACGCTACGGCATCTGTGACTGAAGCTGTGGATCCAGCTGAGGATACTGGAGGAACAGAGGTTCCGTCCTGTGGAGGAGGTTGTTCCTCATTATTTGGAAATGCAACAGAAGCAAACTGAACTAAATAGTGAACAAAGTTTAAGTTGCAAAAAAGACCAAAGTAAAAACAAAACAACAACCCAAACTTGAACCCAGATTATGGCTTTGATTTATTAATTTATGATTTAAATTACTCTGTTCTGTACACATGCTATCAAATAGTAACACTGTTTTGTTGTGACGCCAATGTACTTAGTGTTCTCTTAAGCTTAAAGGACTCATCATAAACATTATGTATTCAGGTTGTTTGTGAAAACTTACTGTGGATGTTGTTTCTGTTTGCATTTGGACAAAACCTGCAAAAGGTAAAAAAAATAAATAAACACAATGAAACAAAAACTGCATAAATTAGGCTTCTTTCAATTCTTACCAGTTTCTTCTGGTTGCTGGTGGTTCTCCATCTTCTCTTCGACCTCTGATGCGGTACCATCACACAACCCGGCGGTGGATGCCTGCTGGTGACTTTCTGCTTCATCGGCCGGCTTTGGTTTGGACGAAGCTGCTTCAGGTGACCCAGCAGAATTGTTGCTGACTTGTTCTGGTGCTGGCTTGTGACAAGCTCTTTCTTCAGGAGCTTGAACTTTAGGGAGAAAATAAATGCATGCATTTTGGAATTTTCTCCCTGATCACTTCCACTGAGATGATATTGTTCCAGAAATGTACTTTTCCAAGCCATCCTATAAATGTAAATATATTATCTGACCATGATACATCAACAGAACCCAGTCTTTTAAAGGAATCTACTGTTGTCTTTCAGACTGTCTCTGCATGCAACTGGTCAGCGCTAGAACCCATCAGCGCAAAAAAACGTGATTCAACGTATTCATCACTACAGAAATCAGTCAATTGGGCAGAGTGTTATTCATCGTCAAAGGAGAAGCCAATACATCGTTTTTCAAAATGAAGGACTTAAGCACCTCTATCTGCTCATGTCTAAAGTTGATGCTAAAGCTGTTTCAAACGCCAATCCTGAGCGAACGCCATCTTTGTAGTTTTTCAACATTGCCGCTCTGGCGCTAAGCCCGCCCATTGTCTCTATAGAAACACTGAGTGCTGTGATTGGCCCGGCCTAAACTTAACCAAGACAGTGGCAGACCTGCTGAAGCTACAATGGAGCGTGGCTGGACCGACCTGCAGTGCAACATCTATTGCTACTGCTACAGTTCTAGATTTCAGACCTGAAACTTACCTTCTTGTTTCATCTCCTTTGGCTTTGCCTTTTGTTCTGTCTCTTTCAGAGGATCTGTCTCCATCCTAATCTCTTCTACGGCGGACTCTGAATGCGTTGATGCAGTAGGGAAGTCTTGTGATGTCATAATTGTCAATGTTTCCTCAGCCTTGATGGTAGTTTGTGAATTCTTGGCTGCTTTATCTGTCACATTTTGATCTTTAGACTCAACAGAACTCTCGGCCTCCATGGGATCTGTTGCTCCTGGTTCAGCATCACCAGTCTTCACCTCAACTTTGATGCTTTCTTTAAGCTGATCTTTTCCAACTTTGGAAGCTGAGTCTTTTCCATCAGTATCAATTCTATCCTTTTTAATATGTTTAGACTTTTCTTTGGCCATGGCCGTCTCCTTAGTTGCCACTGCAGACTTACCGGCACCATTTTTAGGTTCCTTAGGAGTTTCTTTCTGTTTACTGGGTTTTGTGTCTTTTTTAGGGTTTTTATCACTTGGGGCAACTGAGATTTTTTTCTTGCCCATTTCTGTTTTCACAGTTTTAGCCACCTGCTTGGTAGCACTTTTTGCTTTGGAAGCCAAAACTTTAGTTTTGGAGACTTTGTTTGTGGTGGTTTCTGCTCCAGATGATACAGGAGGTTTAACTTTTGCAGTGGAACTGGGTTTAGAAGCTGCTCCAGATGATGCAGGAGGTTTAACTTTTGCAGTGGAACTGGGTTTAGAAGCTGCGGTTTTGGAGGTGTTGGGCTTTGCAGATTTCCTGTAAAACAAAAACAAAAAAAAAAGAAAAGAAAAAAGACTGTAAAAAGGGTAAAGTCTGAATTTTCTAAATAGATAAAGAAAGCATCTAAATAAATTAATGTCCACAAATTAAATATATTTAAACAAACCATCTGTATTGTGGAACAAGCACACTCGATACAACTGACCTCCAGGGGTCAAAGTTCTAGATTTGGGTTGGTCAACCGCTGCTCATAGAGCTCCCCCAGGACCTTTCTACTTGTGGAGTGGTGAAATCAACGGTGCCTCCCATGTGGCTAGTCGTTTTGGTGTTTCATCGCTCGAGCTGGGTCTGCTAGAAGCTGGCGTGTCGTATTACGACTGAGTTGTTTTGCAAGTTAAAACAAATAGTCGTTTGATCTTGAAAAACGTTGATTCTATGCTGTTAAAAATGTTCCATTTAAAGATCTGGCTTGATCCCTCAAAAGAGGTCAATTTTTTGCAAGAGAGGCAGGAAACTTTAGTTTCAGTTCATGTGCTATACTTTCTAGGGTTCGTGTTGGCCCTATCAGAAGCTAGAAAATGTCGGAGGCTATAAAGTTCTTAGACGACTGTTATTTCATAAGTGTAACATTTGTTAAAATACCAATATTAATATGTGACATGACATTGTAAAATTATTTTTAAATCATCAAGTAGATTTTTTTGGTGTATTTAAGATCAGAAATTGTGCACTTCAACAATAACTTATTTTGATGTATCATTACTGGAAAGCAACCAAGATTATTAAAATGACTTTAGATAAAACAATTATTATATTCAATTCAATTCAAGTTCATTCATATAGCGCCAAATCACGACAAGAGTCGTCTCAAGGCACTTCACATAATAAACATTCCAATTCCTGGTCAGGTCATACCAAAGACTTAGAAAAAAAAAATGGGACCCAATGCCTCCCTGCTTGAAACTCATCATTACGGGGTTGGATTGGGGGTTAAACCACCAAATGGTTCCCGAGCACGGCTGTCTGCAGCTCACCGCTCCCCCAGGGGATGGGTCAAATGCGGAGAACAAATTTCGCAGACACATCAGTGTGTGTGACAACTGATGGGACTTTAACTTTATTCAGGTCAGTTCATTAAGCCAATCAGAAATAATGTTTCCTATATAAGGAGCCCAGCAAATTGCATCGAGTCACTGACTAGTGTCAGTGACTTTACAGCAATCCTCATACTAAGCAAGCATATAGCGACAATGGAGAGGAAAACTCCCTTTTAACAAGAATAAACCTCCAGAGAATCCTGGCTCAGAATAAGCAGCCATCCTCCACGACTCACTGGGGATCGAGAAGACAAAGCAGGCAAGCACACACACGCGCACACACACGCACACACACACACACACACACACACGCACACGCACACACACACACACGCACACGCACACGCACACACACCTGTATTGGAATGTTTATTATGTGAAGTGCCTTGAGACGAAGCTTGTCGTGATTTGGCGCTATATAAATAAACTTGAATTGAATATAATGTAATTGTAATTAACCAATAAAAAGAGGAAATCATTGTATGAGACAAAATAAGATTCTTTGTATTAAAGTTTAAAAAGTCTCGTCTCCATCTGGAGTCTTGTGACTGCAGAGATAATGAAGGAGGGAGGAATGTTATGGCTTTTCCTCCAGATGACGAGGTCACAAACAGCATTTGTTTAGGATTTGAAAGAAGACAGTTAACCTTTGACACACAGACGAGGCAGGCTGAGGACAAGTGTACAGTTCAGGTGACCTGACATTACAAGGCCTTTCCTATGCTACAGTTACGATCAATCAATCATTTCTAATACTGGACGTAATCGTGCCGCCGAAAAGCTCCTTTTAAGCTCATGGCAGACGTGCCCAAGCTTTTTGATATTTGTACAATGGAATCATACACCACACACCAAACTGATAACTTGTGATGGGTTATAGATCATTGTGGTCACCCTGATGTAGAAAAACCTTTCTCAAAAATCTCTAATAGAAGATTGAGACTCAATATGATGTAAACTGCCTACTTCCAATTACTGTGATTCAGAATTGTACGATTATTTTTATTTTAAAAGAGATCAAATGAACATGCTGAATTTTTTTAAGGGCTGTTAAAAAGATCATATCTCTTAGCAACATAAAAACTGAGCATCAATGTAAAGTAGGGCTGAACGATTTCAGGAAAAGATTGAATTGCAATTTTTCTAGCAAAATTGCGATTTCGGTTCAATTCACCATTTTCTGCAAAGGTCCAACATTAGCCTGTCAAGCCATCGTGTAGATTAAGTGAAAAAATGGTCTAGATTCTAAATCATTCACATTAATATTTACTATTTAATCATACAATAAAAACAGTTGAAGCTATTAATATTTTCTCCCATTATCTTTTTTTATGTTTTAATGTGTTTGTGAAGCACCTTGTGCTTGTGATTTTTAGAGAGCTTTATAAAAACATGTTCTACTCCAAAATTGCATGGAGGAAATCTGTAGGTAGAAATAGTGTTTAAATGTATTAAATAACAAAAAATGCACAGTTTTCCCTGCATTACCAAGGCAGGCTGGCAGCACGTTTTTCCAAGCCGTCAGATAGTTCTTCCTCACTAACGTCAGTTCCATGAGAGAGACGCACGCATTCTGACACCTTAGCTTGTTTGAACTAACGTGTGCCGTCAGAAACATTCAAACCATTTTAAGAAGAGAAGTTGAGCTTTCAAGTCAACTAAAGTGCACGACTCCGCACTCACGCTGATGAAGCATAAACCAAGCTTTAGAAATCAGCCTGAACCTGCACCGATGTGGGAGGAGTCTCTCGCTCCCTTACTCAACTACGTTCTCTCTCTCTCTCTGTCCCGGGCTCACCTACGGTGCCATTATTATCGGCTCTAGCAGCGCTGTGTGTGGTAACATAAAACAGGGAAAATAACCTGAACATGCAGCTCTGTCAGCTGTGGAGTTGGGCTCTGCTCTGGACGGTACACCCCACCCCCCTCCCCCGCGCTGGCTTTTGCCACCGCCATTACACAGGGGAAAACCCTGGATGTAAAAAAAGGTCAACACAACTGATCCTGGATCAGTCAAAACTGCTAAAACCGCAGCTTTGACGGTCACATGATCGTGCTGTTTGAAATCGCAATTTCGGTCCAAAACCCATAGATCGTTCAGCTGTAAAGCACAACTTACCGTGGTGGAGCTGCTTTGTGATCCTTTTTTGTCGAAGCCTTCTGCTCTTTTGCCGGCTGTGTCGTATTGGCAACGATACTCTAAGAATATAAATGTGTTATAGATTAATGCAGTTATTAAAACTCCAGAGAAAAACTATAAATGTGCCATTTCCAGCAGGAAACACAGAAAGAGAAAGTCTATTACCCGTTCCTTGAAAATAGAGACTGGCAGTCCATTTATTTCAAAGCTTTCCAAAGTCCTAAATTTCTTTGCGTCTTTCTCTTTTTCAAAAGTTATGAATGCCTAAATGTGCCCAAAGTAAACAAAAACCACAAGAAGTTACTCACACAAGGGATTCAAAAACAAAAGATCAAATGTTAACAGTTTACAGCCGTTTATTTTATAGCCAACGACAGACAAAGGTGTAGGATGTAAAAATGTCTTCTGCTTAACAACAAACCAAACTTAACCCTTTAAGCGCCAAAGTCGCAGAATTGCGACAAGCAGCAATGTTGGATTTAATAAGCCACAGCAGCAGAAATGAGCCCTCATGCAGTTAATACGTTACACAGCGGGGTGGCAGACACCTGTAACTTCAATCCAAGCAGCATTTGTGGGTGTATTACTATTCAAACTTTTGGAGTATTTAGAACTTGAACCCCGCCCACCAGTCGCAGAGTCGCGCGGCTTGTCAGAGCAGTCAGATCGAGTGAGAGCGAGCGAATGGTAGAGGGAAAAAAAAACAATGCAGAGAGGAATGTTCAGTGCTGACGAAGCTGTTCGTGTAGTACTGGCAGATTTGGATTCGGGGGAAGAATATTTCCTTTCCGAGGATGATCTGCGGTCTTCTAGCGAGACGGAAAGCGTGACTTCAGCGCGCGGCAACAGGGAGTCTGTCAGCGACGACGCGGTTACACAAGCAGCCCATCCAGCCCTTACCTCATCCGATGTTCCACGTCATCGTGTCCGTGTTCGGGTAAAGAGACATGGTGGGGGGGCTCCAGCAGCTCGTACTGGGTCTGATCCTTCGCTCCACCGTGTGGGGGGGGGGGGGGGGGGGGGGGGTATGTGGTGGCGGTGATCGGGCCGGTGAAAACTCCGCTGGTGATCGATTCAGCCCCAGTGGTGTAAACCGTGGGAATTGCAGCAGGAGGGGGAGGGACCGCGGGGGAAAAAAAATCACTGCTAGCAGGGGGGTGGCCCAACACAGCCTCAATGACAATAATAATGATGATGATGATGGCTGGGCTAATTTGGGAGAAGAGGAACAGTATTCCAAGTGGATCAGGCATTTTGATGAGCCAGTTGGATACTGTGGAGACAGGGATCTGTCAAATTCAGAACACATTTGTCATGACTTCCAATCCTTCACCCTCCTCTGCCTCTTCATTCAGCTCACCTGGTCCCCTCACCAAGCTCCTGACAAGCCCTGTTTCCCTGGCAACCACAATCAACTCCATTCATCTCACCTGTTCCTGTAATCAGCTTCATCCACTTCACCTGCTCCTGACTCCTCCGCTCATCACTCACACCTGCTCCCCCTGCTATATATTCACCAGTCAGCCACCAGTTCCCTGCCAGATTACTGAAAGCCTTTGCCAGTAAATCTTCCAGCCATCCACCCTGCCTGACCTCAGCCTCCGGACCTCGTTTTTCGCTCCTGACCCCTGCCTTGTATTCTGCCTGCCACTACGACCTACGCCCGTCTCCGACTCTGTCTCCAGCCTCTCCCACCTCAGGTAACTTCACCAACAATAAAAGATTTTTTTATCTATTTTTTTTTACTGTATTTGGAGTCTTCACGGGTCTTCCGAGTTCTGTTCGTGACAGAATAATCTGGCCAAAAAATTAGACCCGACGCCGACACAGTACTTCAGAGTTTGTTTGTTTTTCCCCAACTTTTCATCTGACCCGACATGGATCTAGCAGAATCCTGGACTACACCAACTCTCCATTACAGATACTGTGGAGACCCAGAGACTTGCCGGACTTATATCGAAGCCTGTGCTCGTTATTTGGACCTGGCTTCCTCGGATCATGAAAAAGTCTCATTCATGATATCTAATCTGGGTGATAACGCCCTGGTGTGGGCTATGGACTATATTTCTGTGCGTCCGTCCGGAACGGTGTCCTTTTGGGAGTTTGCCAGGCGTCTGCAGGAGACCTTTGGCTGTTGCTCGTCTCCTGTTCATGGCTCCGAATTCACACCACCAGGACATCAAGTCACCTCGTCCATATCCACTCTGTCTGTCCCGGGGCATCAGTACTCTCCTGCTCCCATCAGATCTGGTTTCCTTTCCCTTTCCCCTGTCCCTGTTGATGCCGTCTCTCCCTCCACCCGACGACGACGCCGGAATCGTCGCCAGCAACCTCCATCCAAAAACCACCCGCCCGCTCCGCATCCTGCTTCGGCGGTGGTCCCGGAGGACGCACCCCATACTGCTCCGGCGGTGGTCCCGGAGGACGCACCGCATCCTGCTCCGGCGGTGGTCCCGGGGAACGCACCATATCCTTCTCCGGCGGTGGTCCCAGAGGACGCACTGCATCCTGCTCCGGCGGTGGTCCCGGAGGACGCACTGCATCCTGCTCCGGCGGTGGTCCAGGAAGACGCACCGCATCCTGCTCCGGCGGTGGTTCCGGTGGACGCACCGCATCCTGCTCCGGCGGTGGTTCCGGTGGACGCATCGCATCCTGCTTTGGCGGTGGTTCCGGTGGACGCATCGCATCCTGCTTTGGCGGTGGTTCCGGTGGACGCATCGCATCCTGCTTCGGCGGTGGTCCCAGGGGACGCACCGCATCCAGTCCAGCCCGTCCACGAGGTTCAGGTCCCGCCCGTCCATGAGGTTCAGGTCCCGCCCGTCCATGAGGTTCCGGTCCAGCCTTTTCACAAGGCTTTGTCGTCGGTCCAGCCTGTTCCAGAGTTCCCGTCTCCACCAGTCCCAGAGTCTATGTCCCTGTCTCCAGAGTTCCCGTCTCCACCAGTCACAGAGTCTATGTCCCTGTCTCCAGAGTTCCCGTCTCCACCAGTCCCAGAGTCTACATCCCCACCAGTCCCAGAGTCTACGTCCCCACCAGTCCCAGAATCTATGTCCCTGTCTCCAGAGTTCCCTCTGTCACCTCAGTCTCCAGAGTTCCCTCTGTCACCTCAGTCTCCAAAGTCCCCTCTTAGCTTTAGTCCAGAATTCCCTCTGTCCCCTCAGTCTCCAGAGTCCCCTCTTAGCTTTAGTCCAGAGTTCCCTCTGTCCCCTCAGTCTCCAGAGTCCCCTCTTAGCATTAGTTCAGAGTTCCCTCTGTCCCCTCAGTTTCATAGCCCAGAGTCCCCTCTTAGTCGTAGTCCAGTGTCCCCTCTTAGTCCTCGTCCTCCAGTGTCCTCTATCCCGCAACGTCCACAGTCCGGGCTCCTGGTTCCCTGTCGCTGGCCCCCCAGACTCCCGCAGTCCCAGCTCCTGGTTCCCTGTCATAGGCCCCCCAGACCCCCACAGTCCCGGCTCCTGGTTCCCGGTCGCCGGCCCCCTAGACTCCTGCAGTCCCAGCTCCTGGATCCTCATCATAGGCCCCCCAGACTCCCGCAGTCCCGGCTCCTGGTTCCCGTCGCCGACCCCCCAGACTCTTCTGGCCCTCCCTCCTGGTCCCCCTCCTCCCGCCCTTCTCTGGTTTCCTGTGGGCATCTTGGATTCGCCCTTGAGGGGGTGGGGGTGGGGGGGTGGGCTCACCTGGTCCCCTCACCAAGCTCCTGACAAGCCCAGTCTCCCTGGCAACCACAATCAACTCCATCCCACCTGTTCCTGTAATCAGCTTCATCCACTTCACCTGCTCCTGACTCCTCAGCTCATCACTCACACCTGCTCCCCCTGCTATATATTCACCAGTCAGCCACCAGTTCCCTGCCAGATTATTGAAAGCCTTTGCCAGTAAATCTTCCAGCCGTCCACCCTGCCTGACCTCAGCCTCCGGACCTCGTTTTTCGCTCCTGACCCCTGCCTTGTATTCTGCCTGCCACTACGACCTACGCCCGTCTCCGACTCTATCTCCAGCCTCTCCCACCTCGGGTAACATCAACCAAGAATAAAAGATTTTTTAATCTATTTTTACTGTGTTAGGCATCTTCACTGGTCTTCAGAGTTCTGTTCGTGACAACATTGATTTTCTGTCAGTGTTTTTGGATGAGGAATTCTGGAACCTCATCACAATTGAAACTAACCGATATGCTCACCAGTATTTAGAGAGGGAGGAACTGAAATCTAACGACTGGTACGATGTAACTGTCCCAGAAATGAAAGTGTTCAGTGCCATTCAGTTCTGCATGGGGCTTGTGGAAAAGCCTGAGATTAAGGATTATATATATATAAAACAAAATAAACCAAAGAAGGTATGAGTGAAAAGTGTTCATGACACTGAAGCACCAAAAACAGTGTTCTTGATTGATACGCAGTAAACATAACAAAATACCAATAAAGTAATATGTATGTATATATATATATATATATATAATAGTTATAAAGGTCTACATAGGAATATGTATATATGTATCATAAACAATAACAACACTAAGAAAATAAGACAAAAACATAAAAAAACAACACAAATCTGCAAATGTGATGCAATCCAATATGGCTGCCACCTGATGGCGTCATAATATGCAAATTATGTGAGTGAATTTGTTCCTATCACAAAATTTGGCTCATACAGATGATTTTTCTAATTTACAATATTCCTCTATCTCTTACCAGATTTAAGCTGCAAGCTCTTTAAATAGTGATGTAAAAATTTCATATTTTCTGAAAAAACTATGGCGCCTAAAGGGTTAAGCCTTTTGTTTCACGTTTCATCAAAGGTTATAATCATATTGAGTTTCTATCCTATACAAGACACTCTCTTAATGTATCCTACTAAACATACCTCTTTTCCAGACCTGAAAAGAACCACAGACGTGACTTTTCCATATTCTTTCAGGGCAGAGGTCACATGACGTTGAGAAAGTGTCCCGTGATTTGCCCTGATCCTCACTTTGGCTGCAGGTGATTCTACTACAGTCTGTGAAAACAGAAAAATACAAATAAAAAATATTAGAATTGGTCCCATTAAATATTCACCATGAATGCAAAATCTTCATTAGTTAAATCCACATGAGGTTTATGAGAAGAGAAATTTTGAGGCGCTGTAGTTGCCTTATGAATGAAACCAACCGTAGGATTTGTTGAGGAACTTGTCCCACTCTTTTGAGAGCTGGACGTCAGCTTACTCAGCTCAGCCAGCAAAGCAGGAGCCAAGGTTTTAACCATAGTCTTGAGATCAGACTGCTTTGACAGAGACTGGACAGCTGCAGGAACAAAAACAAGGTTTATTGCTTAGTACCTGACCCGTTTTCAAAGCTTTGGTTGTCAGGGTGACCTCACATAAGCTTCCTAAACCCTCCACAGCACCATGCTGAAAAGTTGGTATTAGGGCTGCTCAATTAATCGAATTTTTATCACAATTACGATCTGAGTTTTGAACGATTATAAAAACAAAACAAGCCGATTATTTGCTCCTCCCACTTGCGCTGCCCCGAGTTGCAAATGAAGCGCTCCTCCCACACTGTTGCCAACTTAGCGACTTTGACGCTATTTCTAACAGCTTTTCAGACCCCCTTCTTGACTTTCTAAATCTTAAAAGTACCTAACGAACAACTCAGAAACATCTCTGGTAACCCTTAGCTACTTTCTGGATAACTGTCGACATTTCCTGCAAGTTAGCTAAACACTCCGCCTGCGCTCCGGACCGTTCTTCACAATATTAGGAAAGGGAATGATGCAGTGATGTGTCGGTCGCTAAAGAAACAGCTCTCGGAGCCGGCTTCATGTTGGAGTAACCAGAGTGAGTGACACACACACCGCACCTGCGAACTCCTGAGCTGCTAAAAACAGCTAAATGTGCACGTGCGGCGTGCCAAACACACGTGCAGCTTGCCCCGACCGGGTTGGGGGGTGGGGGGTGCAGCTGTGGTTGGAACAATTATTACATTAACTGATGGACCTGTAAATAAATAGTTTATAAATAAGGTAGAAATAAGATCCTCACGCTGATAAATAACATCTCTCTGAGGACACGGTGCTAGTGCACTCTCCAACAACACCTTGACACGACTCAATAAATGTTATGCAACATTTTGTGAACATCAATTTATTTGCATTTATTTGTTATAAATGCCACTGTATCATTCTTGCTGTCAGTATTTGCAAGATGTTGGTATTTGGGTCTGTACTGGTCAGACTTAAATGAGTTAAACCAAGGTCTATAGCCCTTGGGTCATAGACTATGAGCTATAAGTATATTGGTCTTTTTACACTGGGAATCAGGAGTTATTTTAGTGATCATCTTGTTTCTTATTTCTTTTTGTCCTGATTGTGCCCTGAGCAATTTTATGATTGAATAAAAACAAATAAAATCAACATAAATTGAAAAATCGTCCTAAATAATCGAGATCTCAATTTCAGTCACCATAATCGTGATTATTATTTTTGCCATAATCGAGCAGCCCTAGTTGGTATGAGGTGATGTTGCTGATGTGTTTTTATTTTTCCAAATGTTGAGCTTTAGAAATCTGTACTTTTGCCTCTTCTGTCCAAAGGACTGTTCAAAAAGTTTTGCAGTTCACCAAAATCCAGCTTTAACAAGCTAGGCGTTTGAAAGAGAAGAGGTTTTCGCTTGTAACCCTTCCAACCAAAACATACTTGTCTCGTCATAAACTTTTCACTTTTAATTTCTTGCAACACTTGAAATGTTAAGAGAAACAAAAAGTCCAACCTGGTGTCTCCAGCAGCTTCTTTGCCAATCTTTCAGCACTTGTCGACCTCCTGCATTGAGACAATGCCCTATCTGCAGATGATCGCCTGGCATTGCGTCGACTTTGTGGCGAAAGTCTGTCATCACTCCTCCTGGAGGACGCTCGGTGCTCACGGCTCCTCCTTAGTGGGGATCGTTTATTGTCTCTCCTCCTTGGTGAAGAACATCTCTCAAAACTCCTTGAACGTGAACGATGATGTGAGGTGTTAAGGTTGTCATGCCATGGGGAGATAGAACGAGAAAGTCTGTCATCACTCCTCCTGGAGGACGTTTGGTGCTCACGGCTCCTTAGTGGGGATCGTTTATTGTCTCTCCTCCTTGGTGAAGAAAGTCTCTCAAAACTCCTTGAACTTGAAAGTGAACGATGATGTGAGGTGGTAAGGTTGTCATGCCATGGGGAAATAGAACGAGAACGTCTGTCACCACTCCTCCTGGAGGACGCTTGGTGCTCACGGCTCCTTAGTGGGGATTGTTTATTGTCTCTCCTCCTTGGTGAAGAAAGTCTCTCAAAATTCCTTGAACTTGAAAGTGAACGATGATGTGAGGTGGTAAGGTTGTCATGCCATGGGGAAATAGAACGAGAACGTCTGTCACCACTCCTCCTGGAGGACGCTTGGTGCTCACGGCTCCTTAGTGGGGATCGTTTATTGTCTCTCCTCCTTGTTGAAGAAAGTCTCTCAAAACTCCTCGAACGTGAACGATGATGTGAGGTGGTAAAGTCGTCATGCCGTGGCGAGGTAGAGCGAGAGCGGGACCTAAAAGATGTTTAGATTGAACATTTTCAATGACTGTCACCATCTTTATCCATCTACATCTTAATTTATCTTTATTGATTTCTGACAAGTTATAATTATTTAATAAGCAATTAGGAGTTCATTAGTTTATATAATGTTCCAAGGTAGTAGAACACTAATGCAGTACTTCTGTTCTAATAACCTTCTAGACTGCTGGGAGATGTGTGGCGACCGTGATCTGCTACTACGTCTTTCTGTGTGACTTTCAGAGGCATGGTGGCGGTTTGACGAGCGAGAGCGGCTACTACGCCTTATTCTTCTATCCTCTGATTCATGGTGGCAGCGTGGATTGCGAGAACAACTGCTGTGTCTTTTTCTGGCCGATCCATGGCGGCAGTGTGGACTGCGTGAGCGGGAACGGCCAATCCATTTTTCCCTTGTTTCCTCTGATCTACGTGTTGATGGTGAGGACTGTGCGAGTGAAAGGGCTCTCATGTCTGGCTGTCTGAGGTGTCTCGGCAGATGCTGATTGCAAGGGTTTGGCATCTGTACTTGGAGCATTATAAAAGCATGTCAGCTGTAGAAATTTTTTTTTTATTTAAAATGGGTTAAAAGAATTCACCACCTGTATTAATGTTCCGAGATGTTCCAGAATGGGCGGTGGGCTTCTTTGTGAGAGCAGGAACTCTCTTAACTGTAAACGATTGACCCCTCCGACTCTTGATACTTTTGAATTCTGTTTGTTCAAGCTGGGCGTTGGGAAAAAACTTGTTTGTATTCTTGTTTATCACCCACCTAAAATCAATGGAGCATTTTTATCCGACTTTGCTGGCCTTCTTTCGGCTTTTGCATTCAAATAATCATGTGGTTATTTTTTTTGGAGATTTTAATATACATGTATGCTGTCTGGATACATCACTTGTGAGTGTTTTTGTGGGGATTCTGGACTATATTGTTTAATGGGACTCAGGACCAACCAGTAAAGGGCACATGCTGGATTTGGTCCTTTTTGGAATTGCTACCTTGACTGTTAAAAGAGAATTGAACTCATCTTTTTTGATCACTCTGCTCTGATGTTTGAATATACTGTGCCTGCTAGTATTGTGCCTAAACCTGTGCCATTTATTCAATCTAGATTTTTTAATACCCAGAAAGGGCCAGTATTTATGGCAATTATCTCTGGCCTTGTTGTACTCAGAACCAATCAGTGCTGAGACGTTTCTAATGAAGGTTTTTTCTTTGTGTCCATGTATTCTGAATGAGATTGCTCCATATAACTGTAAGATCCTCAGCGACAGGAGGATGAAGTGGTTAATATCAGAGGTTGCTAGGGCTGCTAGGTGCGACGGCAGAAAGGCTGAAAAGAAATGGAAGAAAAGCTCACAGTTATATCGGACCAAATTACAGAGCTATGATGATGTACGAAGAGATGCAAGGAAGGATTTCTTTTCTGGCACGATCTCCTTAGCCTCAGGTGGCCACAGAGTTCTGTTTAAATTCTTGAATTCAGTGTTGGAACCTGACATTAGTAACTCCCTTGATGCCTAGGTGGAGAACTGTGAAACGTTTCGTATATTTTTTATGGAAAGAACGGCTGATCTATATTATCAGGGTCACCTACTGTTTGTTTTCTGCCTCCTCTGGCTCTTGTGACTGTGCTAGATTGGAATCAACTGCCACTGGAGATTTGAAGCTCAAGCACAGTATGGAGCTTTAAAGCTAGGGTTGCTCGCCATCTTAGGACAATTTGAACTGTGTTTTATGTTTTTGCTTTGATGGAATCACGGGCATTTACCTGGTTTTCTATGTGGACTAGTTGACATGCCGCTGTAGCGCATCTCATTTTTCTATGTTTTCATTTTTTATCATTTTTTTTTATTGGTCGGAGGGACCAGTGGCAACAGTGCTCAGCAGCCTTGCCTATCTGTACGCCCCAGGGCAGCTGTGGCTACATCGTAGCTCATCCCCACCAGTGTGTGTGTGTGTGTGTGTGACCGTGTTGTAAAGTGCCTTGGCGGGGTCCAAGACTCTAGAAAGCGCTATATCAAATACAGGACATTTACCATTTGATATGTTAAACTGATGATATTTATTGTAAATTTGTATCTGTTTTAATATTTGGTCTTTTTTTTTTTTTACTGTGTCCAGCACTTTGAAGCATTGTGACCAGTGGTGGTAAAGCGCTTATGAAACGAAAAGTTCACCATGCAGCTGATGTAGTCGTTTTTCCATCACAGGACATTTACCTGAGCAGTGTTGATGTCTCACCATGCCATTTTGGGTATCTAGAAAAAATATGAAATGTGTATAATAAAATCAATGAGGTATTTTGACAAAATAATTTTGTTCAAGACAAACAAAACTGGGAGTAACCTAAAGTATTAAAACCTAGTTACTATAATAAAACTGATTATTAGTCATTGCAGGTAAATTTACTGTTGCAATGCAGTCGAGGGGCTAAAATTAAGGCTTGATCAACATTTTATACACTTCAACTGAGGACAACTAGCATGCAAGCCAAGCAAACTGTAGAAGTAAAATGGCTCAGTAATAACAGGTTTTGTTAGCCCTTGAAAAAACAGTTTATCTATTAAACAATGCTTACAAGTTCTTCTCCATTTGTTGTTTCTTGCTTAATACACAGTGTAGCAAAGTTTTACCTTGAACTTCTGAGAGTGTCAACATTACACAGTTGCCATCTTCAAAGCCTCGCTGGTGTTGGCAGTGTCACACAGATGAATAGTACCATACCATATTTATTTATAAAGCACCATTTCAAAATAGCAAGGCAGCAAACCAAAGTGATGTACATAAAAAAGCCAAATGCTTGACCAAGAAACACAATAAGAACAGGCAAAATTCATAAGAACAAAGCATAAATAGTCAGAGATAAAAATTCCTAATAAAAACAATAAAATAGGAGAACAGTTAACAGCACTATAAAAATAATGCAACGAATGGTAAAAACATTTGGAATGGCACAAATAAAACGAAATAAAATACCAGATGGTGCAAGGTGCCAAAAGTGAGCAACTGAATCATAAAAACGGAATTAAAAACCCAAATCCGGTGCTAGATTGTGATGAAAAGTGTCACGGAGGGAAGGCAATGCTAAAGAAGTGTGTTTTCAGGGCCGACTTGAAACTGCTAACAGAGGGAGCCAGACGCACACGGAAGGGCAGAGAGTTCCAGAGTTTTGGGGCTGCATAAGAGAAGGCACGCTTCCCCCGTGATTTGTACCGAGCCTTCGGAACAACAAGCAGCAGATGATCTGCTGACCGAAGGGCATGGGTGGGAACATATGGGGTCACAACAGTGGAAGTGACGCCGCCAACACCGGCTGAAGATGGCGACTGTTTGACGATGAAAAGAGAATATAACAAGGAGTCAAGTTCTTTGTATTGCAATGGTAGTAGCTGTAGCACACTCAACCAATCACCACACATTTACACTGTATTACCTTTGGTGTCCTTTCAAAGATGTACATTTCTAAAACATGTTTGAACTCGGTAGTGGTAAGACGGGAAGCCTTACCGTGATCTTAGTAGTTTGCAGTTTTCAAGATGAAGGGGGGTATTCTGGTGGACGACCCAATCCTAATCAGAAAAAAAGAACAAGTGTTTTCAAATTCCTTACTATAAGGTTTCTTTCGGATTCTTTTTCTTGCAGCCAGCTGACACTTTGATGCATTAATTAAAAACCAAGATAGTTTTATGCAAGCCAAAGGGTTAAAATAAAATTAGTTAATTAAAAAAATAAGACAAGCCTTTGCATAATCTAAAATGTAAAGAAAAGGAAAACCACCAGCATGTTAAGAAATACATCTCGAGTATCAGGGTAATAAGTCTTTATCGTATATTATAACAACACATTAGTAAAAAAACAAACAGGTCATGTGGAAATGTCTTTGAAGGTTCAGGAAGCTGTGCTGTCAGGTTCTGCAGTCTTGTGGGTCTTCCGAACTTCCCGGGATTGCTGGGGTCACCTGGAGCAATTTGAGACTCGGGCAAAAACCAAAGTCGATTTCAGGGAGATGACAAGGAAGGAAGATATAAAATCTGAAGATTTGAAGATGGATTCCATTTTAAAAAATAAAAAACTTCAAAAATGTATAACTAAAAATATTGTGTGCAGATACATCTGCTCTTTCAGACAATTTTTTTTCACACAAAAAGAGAAAAGTACAGTTTTGCTCAGTCATAGTGTGTTATAAGAGGGGATATACAAGATGAAATTGTGGCATGACAAAAATATTACTTTGAACCCCCTCTATGGTAGAGATTAGGAAAAAAGTTTTCAAATGAAATTGAAAAACACGTAAAAAATAAAAATAAAAAAAGGTAATCAGAAGAAAAATATCAGCCGTCCAGATATTTCCTCACGTATTTGAATCCACATGTATGGTTCCATTTTCAGCAACAGTTCCACAATTCAGTTTTTCATAATTTTCCAAGAAGTTTTAAAAAGACAAGTCACTGTATATTTGACAAGGCTTGCTATATTGCAGCATAATATTCAGACCATTTTTCCAACAGATATTCAATGCAAATTGCATATGGTTACTTAATGATTAAAAAGAAAAAACATGTAGCTGGCATCCTAGTTTGGAACATCAATATTTTTAAACAGAGTTGAACAAAAACTTTAAACATCTGAAATCCAAAATGAATAATTCTTTATTAGAATATTTTTAAAGGTACTGGTGGTCCAGTAAATGTAGAATTAAAATAAATCTCTCAAAAGGTCATGAGACTAGAAATTTTATCAATATCAAGCAGTGATTCCAAATTATTTTTATGATGAAAATCAATTAAAACGTCAATCACACACACACACACACACACACACACACACACACACACACACACACACACACACACACACACACACACACACACACACACACACACACACACACACACACACACACACACACACACACACACACACACAAATTCCTAAATGTAATGAGAACTAAGTGTGGTTTTACACTCACCTTCAATGTAGTACAATCTTTCGAACAAAGACAACAGGTATGAGGAAATTTTTCGGGTGTTGCTGCAGCATAGTCTTGTATCATGGTTGCCCCTGGAACGTGCTTCGGATTTCCCATCTTAGCTGCAAGCTGCTTCTTGGAGGGTGGCCCTGGCACACTGGTTGCGCAACTTGTGATCAGCTGGGCTGGCGCAGGAATCGGTTTCAAGGTGGATGTATCTCTTGGCTGAAAAGGTTGCTGTCCTTGTTGTGCTGGCTTTTTAACCCGTTCAGAAACCTTTGATATTTGCACTTCAATTTTGTTCCGATTACTATTTTGAGACTGTTCATTACTGCCGATAAGTATGAGGCCAGGACGATTTGGGTGAACACCATGAGATAAATTAGAGGATGGTTGGTGTTTTGCAGATGACTGGCGATCTGGTTCTGGTTGTTTCAAAGGGAGAGACTTGGGGACTCCAGCACCAAGATGTCTTAAATTTGTGTCTTTGTTCGGAACAGAAAAAGAGGCAAAAGCTGATTGTGATGTCTGGGATGGTTGGGCCTCCATTTTTTTAGCTGGACCACTGCTTGATGGAGCCATGGAACTCCTCACTGAGCTGAAGGTGGTGACTGAACTCATCTGGTCATGTGAAGAAACAAAGGAACCACTTATGCCTGCAGTAATTTTTGTCAATACTTTTCTACTGCGGCTGCTGTTCTTTGAATTGTCCGTATCCAACATACTTCTGCCCCCATCAACCTTGGCAGTACTGCTAGCAGCTCGTCCATGTTCACCATCAGGGATTGCAGTATATTTGCCAGTATGTCCATAGTCAATCACTTTGCTTGGTTTAAGGACAAGTGATGGTATTTCATCCTGGTTCAGTGCTGTCCCTATGGAGCTTGTTGGAGTTATTTCTTTTATTTCACTCACTGTTGTGATGGGTTGTGGTTCGCTGTAGGGTTTGGGTTTATCTACTGTTGAAGTTCTTTTGTCCTTGTTCATCCGAATTTGCCTTAAGATGAAAGGGAGGTTCTCAGGTGTGACCTGGTTTTCAGGGTAACAGATGAGTTGTTCTAAATCTTCTTTTTCTAGCCCAAACTGCAGGAGGATGTTAGAAGCTGATTCAGATGTATATGTGGGACGATTTGACTCATTAGGAGACATACATCTGGCTGGCATGGGTTCGTTATAATCAGCCAAACCTGGAATGGACTGTACATCACATTTTGTTTCACTAGCAGTATTAAACATACCACCACCACTGCCTATACAGCTAGTTGAAGCAGATGAATGCATTTTTGAGGACTTATCCTCTGCAGCCCCTTTGCAAACAGATAACCAGTTCAATGACTTACTGTCAATGTCAACACTGTAAGGTTTAAGTCCTTGAGAAACTGAGGATGTCAAGGAGGACATCCCTGTGCTGGAGGAAGGAGACTGGCCTCTTTGATTGCTGATGACGGGGGCATTCTGCTTTGCAGATTTAAGTCTCACCTCCTCACGAGCTCTGCCAATATTTAAGTCTAAACATCTCTCTATGTCTTCATCGACTGTCATCCTACCGCAATCTAGTCTGTAGTTTCCTGGCAGACCTAAAGGTCTCATTGGAACTCCTGGAAATCTCCCAGGTGACGGTTGAAATCCTGGAAATCTCCCAGGTGGCAGTAGAAATCCTGGAAGTCTCCCAGGTGGCGGTAGAAATACTGGAAGTCTCCCACGTTGTGGTAGAAATCCTGCAAATGCCCCAGGTAGCGGTAGAGGTCCTGCAAATGTCCTAGGTGTCGGTAGAAGAGACGTCCCACGAGGTTCCCTTTCAGTCTCTCCACCAAACAGTTCATATTGTCCTTGGGTGGAACTTTGTTTCCCAGAAAGAAAGGGGTTGTCAAAGGGATGAGACATGCTGTTAGCAATTTTCAGAAGGTTCAGGAGACTGATGGCCACAGCAGTCGGAGAAGGTGGTGGTGTTGATGGTAATGGCGATTGTGGTGTGTTGGACTTTGCCGTCAAAGTCGCAGCTTGGATACCAACAGCAAAAACATTGTTCATATGCGCTAGCGCCAACTGAGCCTTTAGTTGAGCCAACCGAAAGGATGCAGCTGGCCCTCCTGTCAGCGGAGAGTTTCCTGGAAGCCCTCCTAGAAGGGGGCTTGTTAGGGGCCCTGGAACAGGACCAGGGGTGCAATGCTCCAATTGCAAAGAAAAGCTGAAAAGTTTAAAGGAAACAAAACAAAAAACAAGAAAGGAGTTACTGACTGGGATCAGAACTTTTAGCTTTACGGAAAAGTGAATCCATCATTCGGAAGCTTCTTCCACCTTTGCTTGTTTTCCTGGTGGTTACACAGGTATTATGCCGATGTAATTTCACTAGCAAGAAAATGAGTAGTAATAATGTAAAATTGATGTAGTAGAACAAGTTATGAAAACTTACTTAAATATACTCTGAAATGTGTTTCCTAGGCCAGATGTCACTAGCTCTGAGATTTAAATAATACATTAGGCCTTAACCTCAATTTTGACAAATACCTTAGATTTTACTTTGATTAGTCTCTGTGAAGCAAGAGGAAACTGTTTCATACATATCTAGAGTTTGTATATTTTATTTAAACTTTTATTCTCACTGTGTAAACTTTTTTGTAATGTTTTGAAATATGTTAAATCCCTCAAATAAATAAATAAATAAAATAAACAGGGTACCAGAGTAACCTGGAGTCTTTTAGGTTTCCAACCAAAGGCTCAGAAAGCCTTGGCCCAGTGTATATTACCTGCAAGATGTCTTTTTAGGCTGGTGGCAAGCAGGGTCACCAAGCCTTTAACTGCCTTCACTCCGTTTTACAGTCTTCTAGAGTAGGAAAGTATTAGATTCTTAACAACAGCTAACTGGTAATTAGAAAAGACTGACTGGCAAAATTAACAAATCCTGATCCTGACCTTAAACGGAAAGCGAGGTCTATTCATTTTGGTCCAGAAATGTGTAATCCTTCCTGGTCATTAAAACAGAGTCCCTACAGTAGGAATCCAACTAGTACTAATCCTTTAAGAGTGCACAAACTTTTGGGAATGGATCTTCTTCAACTTTTCAGCTTCCACAAGGAAAAGTAAAGTTACCGTAAATCCTCTAATACAGGCCCGGGCCTGTATTTGACTCAAGCTCATCAAGCTCCAGGCCTTTATTGGAAGGAGGACCAGAATTAGAGGCAGGCCTCAATTTCTATTTGAGCAAAATGAACTAATGGTTCGCTGGAGTTTTTGACAATTAAGATTGCGCCCACATTTTCAAAGTTAAACACATTTCTTTTAACAACGGTAGTTTCTGCTTCAGCCCTCTCCCCCCTCCCCCTGCGCAGCGGCCACAAACTCACTGATGCGCCTGCAGCCTCTCAGAGTTCCTGCTGCTCTAAACATTATAATAATTATTTCATTTTCTGTTCCTCACTTCTGATTACCTTCAATGGTGTCTGTTTGTTGCAACCACCAGGTACAAAAACTAACTTGTTTTTATTTGACTATTTTTCTGCCCTGTCTGTTTATTATCTTCTTGCATCTCCTCTCAGTCCTAAAGAAAAACTGCTACCTGGGTTCATATATATTCACCTTATGAGTTACCTTTGAACTGCAGTTCTAAAAGATCTACCGACCGCAAAAACAGCGGAGTGCTCGCCGGCCATATCAGTTAGGTGCGTCACCGAGGGCAAAACAGGTGATGCGCCCCGATCCACAGCAGCAAAAAGCATCAGGCACAAATCAAAGACAGAAAACATAAAAGGAAATGAGTCGACATAAACGATCACGTGTTAAATTAGTTTTTGAGGTGGCGACACCTGATTTGATAATGTTACTGTGGCCGTGCTCAGGACGCAGATGTCTGGAGCGCGTCAACAATCAGAGCTTTGCATGCGCAAGCTGGTTAAGTTTAGGATGGGGTGAGGGGAAGGTTAAATTGCAAGAGGGTAAAGGTCACAATTTGGTTAAATGTTTGTTTTACGGCGGGTGTCAGTACCGACGCTCTGGCACAGCGCGTTGCCTCCCGACGCGCAGGAGCTTGTCACCTGCTGACAGCAGGCTGCTGTCTTTTCCAAGGACTGCATCTTGCCGGTCATTATCACGTGACAGTAGCCACGTTTACATGCGCATATTTAATCGGATTGAATGCCCATTCAGATTGAAAATTCTGCATGTAAACATGTCAATCAGAATATTCTGATCCGATTCGGCCCGATCGGATTGAAATTTCAATCCGATTGAGAGAGGTGGTTTATTCCGTTCTTCATTCCGATTGACGTGCATGTGCACAGCCATTCGGATTGTTGGGGTAAAACAATGCCCACTGCGCATGTGTGCAACAGCCAGCGGGCCTCTCCGCTGTCATTTGGACTGCCTGACTTCAAAAATGACGGTGTAATTAACAAGCGGCGGCTTTTAAATCCGACAACAAGCCGTCCCGTTTCAGTAATATTTAATTCAGAACTTGCATTTTGTGGAAGTAAAATAAAAATCTGATTATTGCACAAATCATTCGACAAAGATGTTCAAATCTTTACTGGAAATACGCAGGTTTATCGTGGGGGTTGCAGCGCACGGATCCCCGTTTCTGTCAGCTTTGAACACAGCAGCTTCTGCAGCAGGTGATGGAGACGCGCTTGTAAAGAACACAGGATAATCTGGGTTTTACAGACCTGATTGGAGGCTGATGTTGGGTAGGAAAACGTCCTCGGTTAAATACTCTGGACGACAGTAAAGTCCGTGTTCGTTAAAAGCACGTAAACGCAGATGACCTGAGATGCGGTTCGTTAATGATGAACACAGGCTTCTAAACTTTCTGAACATCTTCTGTTATTTTGTTTGAACAAATTTTTCTCAACAGTTTCAGCTGATCGTCACATGTTATTAATAATAAGCCACAACAGAGCTCAGTAATAAAACATGAGGCTAACCCCCACCCCCCACCCCCGCTCTGTGCCGCAGCGCAGCGCAACAGCTGTCAATTCAGACCTGCGGACCAGCTGATCAAGAGGCAGACATAACCCTCCCTTATTTTAATCAACAATAAAATGCAGCAAAGCATATATCTGCAGTTATTCACTGAAGAAAACGTAACTTCTATGAGCTAAATAAAAATATTAAATTGAATAAATGGATCAGGAAAGCAGGAAGAATAGTTATTTCTGTTTTTACATTTTTCTTTTCGTTTCATGGCGTTTGTTTACAATTTTTCTTTCGTGAAAGGCAACTCTGCGCATGCTCAACCTATTTAATCGGATTAAATGCTTGGTGCGTATGTACGCACGGCATGATCGGATCATTTCAGTTCGTGTCCATGTGAACAGAGATTCGGAAATTCCGATCAACCAAGATTTCAATCGGATTGAGGAAATTAGGCACATGAAAACGCAGCTAGTGACTAGCCGATGACAGGCATAAAAAGTCACTATAGAGCGGTGAAGTCGACTAGTGACTAGTTCATACAACCCCTACTGCTCCCCAGAGTGTTCTGCAGCATAATCAGCACGTTCTCTTTGAACTTGATATCAAATTTTCGCCTCCTCGTCGTCTCCGCACGGTTAAAGTTACCCTCGCGGTCTATCACTGGCAAATCAAAAGTGAGACGGATGACACAACCGCACCCCCCCCCCCCCCCCCCCCCCCCGTACTTGCTTGTTACCACATTCCACCCAGCCACAATAAAATACCGGCCATTATTCACCTCCACCGACTCAGACACCGGCCAAAATATGATACCCGGCAGTTAATTGAATACAGGTTAATATTAGAGGATTTACGGTAATACTTCTCAAGTTCAACAGGCCACAATACCTATCCACTACCTGGTTTCATGTATTGCATCACCTTTCAGTCTCTTCCTCCTCGTAAAGGGATTTTATTCTGAAGTTGGCTGTTATCTGAACTGCACTTCCTCTTTCTTCTCAGAGAAATCTGTCTAGCTTGACCATTTAACTCATTCGAGACATTGCAACCGAAATAATCATTTTAAATATTTACCATCAATTGTGATTATGCTTTACAATTAATCACACATATTCCCAATAAACCGATCATGTAAAATAGTGTAATCATCATGAAGTAGTTAAATTATGGTCTCTGGTGAGTCCGTTCCGTTGTGTGCTGGGTAAGGCTTCTGATCTCCAAGACTGATCTTGCAAAAGGTAAAAATTGGGTTTATGTAGACAAACCCACAGGAGAAATATTGTATCTTGCAGTTCTTTCTCTTAAGGTTGCCATGAACATCTCATCTGGTGGTGTCTCTGCCTTCTGATAATGTGCTTGTAGAATAAATGAGGCGTTCGAACCTTTCAGGCTAAATTAGTCAAATTACACTGAACAAAAATATTAACACAACACTTTTGTTTTTGCTCCCATTTTTCATGAGCTGAACTCAAACATCTGACACTTTTTCTACATGCACAAAAGACCCATGACTCAAATATTGTTCTGAAATTTGTTTACATGTGTGTTAGTGAGCACTGTTCCTTTACCAAGGTAATCCATCCCACCTCACAGGTGGAGCATATCTGGAGGCTGATTAGACAGGACGATGAGTTTCCCTGAGACGGTCTCTGACAGTTTGTGCAGAAATTCCCCAGTTAAGCATTGTTGCTGCAGCTGTCTGGGTGGCTGGTCTCAGGCGACCCTTGAGGTGAACATGCTCAGGTCCTGGCCGGTGTGGTCACATGTAGTCTGTGGTTGTGAGGCCAGTTGGATGTACTGCCAAAGTCTCGAAGAAGGCTTATGGTAGAGAAAAGATTATTCATTTCACGGGCAACAGCTCTGGTAGACATTCTTGCAGTCAGCATGCCAACTGCATGCTCAGTCAAAGGTTGTGACATCTGTGACATTGTGCTGTTTGATTAAACTGCACATTTCAGGGTGGCCTTTTATTGTGGGCCATCTAAGTCACACCTGAACATTATTGATGCTGTCAAATCAGATGTTTGAGTTCAGCTCATGAAAAATGGGAGCAAAACAAAAGTGTTGCATTTATATTTTTGTTCAGTGTAATAGTTCTCACGGGCCAGAAAAACACTATTGTTTTAACGAGCAAATAAGTGTTTGATTTAGGTTTTTTTCAATTATACTCCTAAAACTGGGCCCATATTAGACATAAGTAAAAATGTGAACACAAAACTGCCAGAAATGACCACTCTACATCAACAGCTTACTGGAGAGACAGTTTATCCTAGAAATGTAAAATCACTCTGAAGGCACAAATGATCACCGATCCACACTCTGGACACGCCTGGTATAAGTCCTTCTGTATGTGGACTTCTCGTCTCCTCAGTTACACCCCTGATGGAGGAGGAGCATCCAGGACTCTTGTATCCTCGCAGAAGAGGCAACACGAGCAAAAAAACAATTTCATTTAATCACAGTGGTGAACCATGTAAACTAACAATAACACGTTTTTGAAGTTAAACAACATGAGGCCTCACTACATCACCAAATAATGAAGTCACACAAACATAAATTCACTGGAGACGTTTAGTTACATAATAAAAGTGCAGGAAATTGATCATCTCGTCTTAGTCCAGGTCTTTCTGTTGGAATGGATGAAGTCGGGGAACTCCAATTCTCGGCCTGCAGGAATCAACCATCGGGTGGCAGCAAATGGTCAGATGAACTCCTGGTGCTCGCCGTAGACGGTGGCGGTGGATGCATCCTCATCTCGACAGGAAACACGACCGAGCAGCTCAGTTTGCGGGGGAAAGAAAAATGAGCTCCGCGCAGCAACTATAAAAGCCCCACAGTTTCTGTATCTAGGCCAAATGTGTTCAGCTCTGGTCCACCCAGCACATTGCAGGTCACTCCCTGCTCCAACACACCTGATTAAACACTTAAAATCACCAGTTCAGCGGGCCATGAAGCTCAACAGAAACCTATTATCACCAGCAGATTTAAATGTGTTGCATCTATGAGAGAAAACTTCTTGAATGTGTAGGATGGTGGGCCTGGAGGACCAGGACAGGCCACCAGTAATCTAGACCACCAACTACGTCACACAAAAGAAGCCGTTAAGACCTCTGCAAACACATTTTGCATAATCCCGAATCATCGATGTTTTGCAATCAATAGTCTACATGTCAACATTAAAATCGAACGCTGAGTTCATGCATGCTTGCTTCCGCAACGCTTCGTACTTCTAGGCCCGTTTTCTCTAGACTTGGACAAATGTTCACAGATTACCAGAGACAACTGTGAAATCTCGCCGTTCGCCTTTTTTATATCAGCGGTGTGTTGCCTACCTTAAGCTTTAACACGCTTAAACGTCTGCTGGAGTTTAAACGTCTGCCGGAGTTGACGGTGATACTTTAGCTTCCTCCATTAGCATGCGAGCACGTCGTTGGCAAATGGAAGTCAAATTATTGAGGAACTTCCGGTTTGCCTTCAGTATAAAAGTGCACAAGGTATGAATCATTTACTTAACAACACACGCCGGCCGAGTATGGCATAGGCGGTGCTTGTGTACTAATAAAACAGCTCATCAGACAGCTAGTGTTTACAGCTAATGGCGTTGTTGTGGTGCGCCGTTTTCATGAGCGTAATGTTCCTTTCCTGATTTACTCCCCTCTCTCCACACTTGCCTCGTTCACCGGCCAGTCGCAGGCAGAAAAGGAGCCAACGTGTTTTGAAACAGAAGTGGGATGTTCTGGCCACAGGGGGCGGTAGGGGCTGGGTGACGCTTCATTAACTCCGTAAAGGGTCATTTTAGCACACACTGACTCGAGAAAATTCTTTAAAAATATGAAAAAATTGCTAAGTATCCCTTTTAAAGAAACAAACTTTTATTTCTGCTCTGTGTAAAATGCTCTAATGCTAATATCTGTTTTGTAATTTTATCTATGATTGTGTACTTATTTGATGCTTACGGTAAATTGTGTGTTTTTTTGCTGCTGTTGCTTTGATTTTGTTCTCCGCCAACTTCTGAAAGACAAATGTGAAACCTAAGCACAACAATGACCTAACTGCTACTTGGCAAGAATCTGAATCCACATTCTGACCTGCATTTAAAAAAGAGATTTATTCTGAATTTACTCTAAACATAAACAATGACTCATATGTTACAATTGAAGACAATAATTTAGAATTATGTCACACATGGTGAATCGCATTCTAGAAGAAAATGAACCTGATTCCTTGGATCAAAAAGAAAATTCTAAGAAATGAAGATTTTTCCAGATTTGGTGCTTGATGCCCCCGAAGTGTGTGCTTCTGTGTTGGGAAAGCTACTTTTAAAACGTAATTAGTTATATTTACTAATTACTTTGTCAAAAAAGTAACTCAGTTACTAACTGAGTTACGAGATTATAAAAGTAACCAATTACCAAGAAAAATAACTACTTAGTTACTTTTTTCATTAAAGAATGCAAGAAAAATGGGTTAATTGAACTTACTTAATTTACTATAAATGACTACAGTGGTGAAATATAAATGACTAATATATATATATATATATATATATATATATATATATATATATATATATATATATATATATATATATATAAATGAATAATGACTGGAACATAATAAAATGTATGTCAAAATGTTTTTTACAAACCTGAATAATTTAAATAAATAAGCACTTAACAGGAGGAACTACTAACAGGAACAATACACTTATCTAGACTATAAAAAGGTCACTGTGTGATATTTAACAAGACCCCAATCAGCTAAAATTTAAAATTGCAAATAGAAACACCTGTAAAGTTTCCCGAGCCTTTAAATGGTCTCTGTCTAGTTAAATTACAGAAATGAATGTAATTTTGCACAGTATTTTAATTTTCCCAGCTTCACATAATTGTGTGTTTTAAGTAGCATTTCTGTTGCTGGGAATCTAGTAATGGTTACATAAATAAATAAATATCCTTTAAAATTACACTAGAAGAGGCACAAGCCTGATGGAGGACTTACATTTACTAACGTGGGTCAGACCCAACCACAGAAGAGCTGAAGCTGGGTGGTAAACACACACACAGGTAGTTCTAATAACACCTGAGCTCCATGACGTCTGAGACTGATGCATCAGTGTTACAGCGGGACTAAAGACATGATCAGAAACAGGTTACAGCTGGATGATCTAGGAAGGTAGAAGATCAGGATGTCTGAGCGGTAAACAGGTGAGCGGACCTTCAGGACGTCTCGCTGTCACGCTAAGAAGGGCACGGCTGCAGATCCACACCTGCAGCCGTAGATTTTCACCACGTCTTGCTCGTTCTTCATGGCCATGATTCGCTTGGATGAAAACATCTACCGCTTTAGTTCCGGATCAGCTGATGACAGCTTAAACACACCATGCTGCTTAACGCACACATTTTCTTATCTGTAACAGAAACAACGTTTTGATAAAAGCAGATGTAATTAATTAGTTTGCTCGTTACTGAAAAATATATCTTTTTAGTAACGCGGTTATTTTAAACAGCGTTATTCCCATCACTGCTCTGTTGGGTCTACAGCAGGCGGTGACAGTGAGAAAACTGAGGGTCTCCGCCCATCCGGCCAATCATCGTGTTTTAAGTGCGTTGCCGACACCTCTCTCTCCCTGGCTGCAGCTGAAGTGTGGCGGTCAGAAAGCCTCACCCCTTCTTTCCACCGGAGCCGTCAGCAGCACGTTACTGCAGCAGCACGTCTTGCTCGCGTAAGCTGCTGCTTGGCCCTTCCCACGAGATGTGAAGCAACAGGGGAGCAGCTGTCACTGACAGAGCACGAAGTCACACGAGTGACTTTGTCAGTAAACATAACAACAAGCAGGAGAAAACTACAACATGGCTCCAAAAAGGTTTGTGTTTTATGTTCTGTCCGTTTTATAATCGCATATACGGACCTGAAAAACAAAGGAGACCGCTAGCTAGGTGATAACTTCTCATGGGGCCGCACAGTTAGTAACTTTTGTTTTTAAAGAAAAGCAACTGGAAGGCAGTACGTTTCTTTATTCTGAAAATCTCGGGAGCTTAGCTTCGTTTTCGCATCCAATTTCCTGTCTTTCCTTCCCCAAAAATGTCCAACTTGACCCGTTTCAGAGGCGTCGCGCGTAGAAAATCGAACCGGTGTCGGTACAGGATCTGCTCGGGTGCAAGATCGGCTCGGGGTCCTTCGACTGCCGATGACGTCAAAGTAGTTGATTGGCTGAACATGAACCTTACGAAATTTACGTAATCATGTTACATTGTTATCATGTTATGTTGGTCCAGGCAAGTTTTTCTGTTGGAAAGATGGACAACTTTTACAAAGAAATCCATCATTGCCTCTTTGAAAATATACTTTTAGCATAGAGCTGCATGTATATTAGGGCTGAACGATTAATTGCATGTGCAATTAAATTGCGACTTGACAAAAGGAGATTTTCTAATCACAAAGGGGCTCGACACACGGGAGGCGATCCGCGGCCAGCGGCAAAGCCGTCTACGCGTTCTGTTCCATGGCGAAATCAAATCTTCCGTTGTTTTGATTGGCTGTGTCAGGTTGGAGGGAATTAAGGTTATTTAAGCGGTTCAGAGTTAATAAAGCGGTAGATATGATGTTTCACAAGGTGCTGCTAGAGTTATGTGAAATCTTACTTGTGATTTTACTATATAAAACATAATAATAATCAACTTCTCCTTCATGTTTGCTCGGAGATGTACGGAGCATCCTGCCCGCTCATTGGTCAGTGGATCAAACCTCCGTTGATTGGTCCTCGTCCGAGTGACAGCGATGAAAAGTTGAAAATGTTTCAACTTTCTGGGATTGCGTCGCTGGGTCGCCTGTGCACGACACATGCACGAGCGCAAAATTTCACACGCACGTTTTTCACGTTTCGCTTGGTAGGAGGGAGACCCGCGATTATCGCTTTGTCGCGCATGTCTCATTGAAAATGAATGGAGGAGAGGCGATGTCGCCTCCCGTGTGTCGAGCCCAAAAGGCTGCAATTTGGCAGCGAGTGGTTAGCGCAATGCTAATATACATGGAAAAACCCATAGGAATGCTAATGCTAATATCACCGATTACATTCTTACAAATTATGAATTAGAAATGTGCCAAATGATTACATTTGGAGTCTAAAAGAAAGTAAAACTACAACCAATCAATGAAGTACAGACAGGTATTTTAGTAAAGCCAGAAAAGTTTCAACTCCAGAGTTTTGGCTAGCAGCTATGAGCGTAACTGAACTACACATGGACAAGACATCAAAAACTAAACACAAAATACTTCAATAAACGGGACACGCTTCTTTCCTGCAAATACAATTTCAAAGGTGTTGCTAATACCTATGATCCTTCAAGGGATGTGCTCAAAGAGGAGTTCAACATTATGAATTCAATATAGTGTTTTATTTTACAAATACCATTATAAATACAAACTTACGTCGTAAGAAACATTATTTTTATAACGAAACTGCTAAATTCTTTCCAACAGTATAAAGATGTGTAGTGTATTTTGTCTGTGTGGGTTTGCCGTACTTTGACGTCATCGGCAGTCGTAGGACCCCGAGCCGATCCTGTACCGACACCAGCGCCTAAAGGCCGCAACATGCTGCTCCTGAGACGCGGCCGACTCGCGCTGCTGACGGCTCCGGTGGAAAAGGTTCTGTTGACCACAGCGGTTCCTATCAGCAGCTATGACGTGCTGCTGCAGTAACGTGCTGCTGACGGCTCCGGTGGAAAGAAGGGGTCACACTGTTGCTCAACGTTCGAAAAGCACAACCTTCCGTCCCCAGGAACGGCGTTGCAACAGTGGGAAAATTAATTAATTTGATTATTCCGTTACCCAATAAAAGAACGCCGTTATTTTAAACGGCGTTATTCCCATCACTGGTGCTTCACAGCCAGTGTAACCTGGCCAGAGGTTGGTGCCTTCCATAATAAACATGTATTGACTTGACAGACTGTTGATTTGATAGTTTATCAAAAGCTGAGGATGAATTAAAGGACGCTTCTCTGTTGGGTATTGCAGCAAATTACTAATATATCCCCTTCATCCCCTCTCCTGGACCACAGGGCTTAACACCTGACCACAACACAACAGCTGACTGGCAGGACTCCCCTGTGTGTCGGTGTGTGTGGAGGTCGAGCCAAAAGGAGCTGAGTTTATTTTCAGCTGTCATCACTACCCTGACAGAGGCTTGTGGCAGTGACCTCAGCGCACATTACACACGTGTGAGGACACATGGAGACGTATGGGTGGACAGGGTATGCATTTTACAGAGTAAACGGTGTTGATGCAACATACACTTCATCAGAAAAATGATAAATAATTGTATAGCGCCTCTCAGAGTAAGAACTCCAAAGCGCTTTACACTACAGTGTATCTTTCATCCATTCACATTCACATTCACACACTGATGGTGATGAGCTGCAGTATGTCCACGGCTGCCCTGGGGCGTGCTGGCCGAGCGTGGGCG